AAACCTTTTTTCTGTTTTCTGTCATATATATTGTTATAACCATCTGTTCAAAGTAACACACATAGACTCGCTCGTTCATTCACTTACTCGCTCAAGTTATGTAAAAATCAACATATATAATCACGTTCAAATAAACTTGAAGACGCTCAGATCAGAACATGCACAAAACACATTCAACACAAGTACAAATCAACACACTCACTCAACATATGTACACGCTAAAATCAACATAACGACTCAAACACGCATTAAATAACAAAAACTCATTCAACACAACCAAATCGTTATAAAGACTCGATGTACAAACCAACCCACTACATATCATTTCGTAACTTTACATTTTCAGAGGGAGTCTCGGACTTGTCCAATGTTCTTTTGGCATATATATGTAGAAGGATTTTTGGAGGTTAACCGAGTAAATATTTGAGACAATGTCATGAGAATGTTGTAAGTACAGAATGTCTACATTGAAAGAGGATTCTGGTTGTGTAACACTATTAAAAACCGATAATAATTCTCCTCAATACGATTGAGAGAAGCTCTGGGTATTGTGTAAATTGAAATCGATATGTGAAGTGAACATTGGACACAGGGACACCTCCCCATCTCACCTATCACCTTGTATAAAGATCTGGTGTCTCGTCTATCATACCGGTTGTATGTTGAAATTGAATCATGTGAATGTTTACATTCATGTATCTTTATAAGCTAAAATGGAATAAAGATCGAAATAAGAAAACAGATTTTGTTATTCTATTAACGGATTTATTGACGTGACATGGAAAAGTGAACCGTATAAGTACTCAGTTTTACACATACAGTGTAGAACTTTGCACTGACAATGACATCACAATGACTGGATAAACAATGACCTCGTAAATAGTGAAATTATCTTATCACAGTGACATCGTAAATAGTGAAAATAACTTATGACAATGACTTCGTAAATAGTGAAAAAAACTAATGACAACGACTTCGTAAATAGTGAAAAAAACTAACGACAATGACTTCGTAAACAGTGAAGATAACTAATGACAACGACTTCGTAAATAGTGAAAAAAACTAACGACAATGACTTCGTATACGTAAATAGTGAAAAAAAACTAACGACAATGACTTCGTAAACGGTGAAGATAACTAATGACTTCGTCGAATGTGAAAATAACTAACGACAGTGACTTCGTAAACAGTGAAAATAACTAATGACAATGGCTTCGTAAACAGTGAAGATAACTAATGACAATGACTTCGTCGAATGTGAAAATAACTAACGACAGTGACTTCGTAAACAGTGAAAATAACTAATGACAATGGCTTGGTAAATAGTGAAAATAACTGATGACAATGACTTCGTATACGTAAATAGTGAAAAAAACTAACGACAATGACTTCGTAAACGGTGAAGATAACTAATGACAATGACTTCGTCGAATGTGAAAATAACTAACGACAGTGACTTCGTAAACAGTGAAAATAACTAATGACAATGGCTTCGTAAACAGTGAAGATAACTAATGACAATGACTTCGTCGAATGTGAAAATAACTAACGACAGTGACTTCGTAAACAGTGAAAATAACTAATGACAATGGCTTCGTAAACGGTGAAGATAACTAATGACAATGACTTCGTCGAATGTGAAAATAACTAACGACAGTGACTTCGTAAACAGTGAAAATAACTAATGACAATGGCTTGGTAAATAGTGAAAATATACAATATTTGTTGGCATATTTACGCTCGTCTACTTTGTATCTTGACCCTAAAGTGTGTTTTTAGCTCACCTGCCCGAAGGGCAAGTGAGCTTCTGTTATGGTGCGGCATCCGTCGTCCGTCGTCCGTCTGTCCGGCGTCAACTTTTTGCTTTAAACAACTTCTTCTCAATAACCAAAAGGCCTAGGAAGATGATATTTGGCCAGTAGCATGCTGGGATCAAGGGCTACCAAGTTTGTTCAAATAAATGACCTTGACCCACTTTCAAGGTCACAGGGGTCAAATATGTTAAAATCTTCAAACAACTTCTTCTCAATAACCAAAAGGCCCAGGGTACTGATATTGGGCCTGTAGCATGCTGGGATGAAGG